CTATTCAGACCTAGGGTTTCCGGAAGGGGCCCTCAACCAAGCCCTGAACACTACCTTAACAATCGACAACCTACCCTTTCTAAGGAGCTTTATAAGGAAATCTACCCTTTCTAAGGACCTTTCTAAGGAAATCATAGGAAATCATACTAAGGAGCCTTGAAACGGTAGGTTTCTGGGTGGATAAAAAATCCCGAACCTTAAGTTCCAGCATCCGCCTGCTGGCCCTCTGCGGATCTTCCGGCTGCTTACCGTCTGCAGCAGAGGATGAGGAAGCCTCCCCAGAGGGTGCATATATACTACGATTATGGAACTGGGTCATGGTAGTAGTATATGTGGACCCTCTTGCCTCTGCGTCTAAGTGCTCCGGCTTGAAGGCAAACTCTGCACCCATGAACCCCCCATACATGCTCAGCCTAGCTGCCCCAATGCCTTACAAATGCAAGGCGAGGTGCTCGGGAGTTAGCTCGTAGAGTCGGTTTAGGGTTTAGTATTTGGAGTTTCGAGGGCTTTACAGCCGGATTCATCTGCTGAAAGAACATGAAACTTTTGCTGGCCTGCGCTGGAAGCGGTACCAATTTGGGAAGGTAGGTCTGGGGTTCCATGTTGGTTTCAATCAGGGTCCGAGACTCAATCCTTCAGCTTCCCGCAACATCATCATTATTGTTGTTTTTAGCATTATTTTTATTGTTTTGCTGAAAAGCGCAGGCTTTTGATGATTGTCGGCATCATCAGCTTCTATAGCAGTAAGCTCGCATGCTCTCCAAATAGCAGTTCTGAGATGGCAACACTTGGAACTTAAAGGTGTCATGCTTTCAATCTTCAAGCTTCTTAGGGGTTTGTCGGAGCCGGCTTCCTGAAGCAAACAAGCGATCTCCATATGACCAAACTCAAAGGAGGCCATAGGAGACCCTGATATAGTACCCTAAATAGTAGGATCATTATGATGAGGACCCCCAATGCTTACACTGCGGTTAATCCGTCTCACACAGTCTTTGTCGGCCCTAAGCTTCCAGCAGCAAAAAAACCTAAACCCAAGGCTAGCGAAAGGGCCTCGGCCGGTGAAGACTCAGTGGCTCTCCTTCGGCGGACGCAGGCAGTAAGGCTTACCATGGGGCCGGAATGAGTAATAGAGCACAAAGAAAGGCTTTTCAGCAGCTTCCTCTCGCGCTCTCTCTGTGCACATGTATACATAGGCGTGCATACGTATATTTATACACACATACGACATGTAATATACCTAACTAAGTGTGTGTATACATATATACATATGTCATATTTACTAAATACCGTATACCCACACACGGATCATGTGCAGTACAGTGTAGACAAGATATACATTGTACAATACTATGGGGCATAACATCTCCAAGGATCTGCCCCTGGCCAGCTTAAACATGTTGAGTTGAAATAATTAATTTGAATCTCCGTCGACCCAAGATGAGAACAAGATGATAATTTTTTGATACAAGTCACACGTTGGGTTTATGTCCGAGCACAAATCCAACATATTTCCAAAGGAACACCCAGGAAAACAGTCTATTACGGGCGTAGGCTAGACTTGTGGAAGCAAGACGATCCATGCATGTTTTTCCATTTGCGCATCCTGGCTCTCAGACCCAAAATCGCAGGGTCAATTGGGGAACAACTGGGGACCTAGGTCTTGTTTCCGGCTCAATCACGTGATGTCGATGACCGGCTCCCTATCTCACCGTAAGGGTCCAAGTACCTCATAATCATATACTCTCCCGAAAAGTAAGCTACGTAACTACAAACCGTAAACTAGGTACGTAATCATTATCCAAAAGGGTCCTATGTACTGTTATGGGGGATACTTCCCTGAGTCATAATAGTAATTCCTAATATTGAAACCCTACATTCTACTATATAGCTACATATGGGACCCTTTTTTTGGTATATCCATTCGACCCTTAGGGTCAGTGTTGGGCCCATGGGGTTTGGGGATCAAGGTTCAGAGTTCACTTCGCAAAGGCTTCGGCGTGGAGGTTTCGGTTGATGATTTGCTTCCTGCCTTGCCTTAAGGACCCTAAACTATGGGAATTATGGTGTATTCCTGTTTATGGGTCATGCAGGATTTATATCATCAACCGTTTTCAGGGAGTGCAGGGGACCAAAGTGGTCCATCATTGAACAATGCTTGTTTCTGCCAACCTAAACCCCCCAAAGTAGGTAAAATAATCGCCCAATATCAGAAAACCGCTGCTATTATACATACATTTGGGGTCCAGGAAGAAGCCAAGTTGGTCATTTGTTTCCAGCTGCTGCAAAGGAAAGTCTGCACGATCAGAATGCCCTGCTAGTGCTCGTAAAGGTCTCCAACACCAGCATCGGGCTGACAAATATTCAGTGCCAGTCAGCACCGTAATATATGGGCCTTAATAATTAGAATAGGGTTTTGGGGCCCATTATGTTATAACCAATTAACGAACCCTACAATAATATTGGAAATTACGTATGTACGCCCAGCAAGAAGATCGAAAAGATTTCGCTTTAGGGTTTAGGGGTTAGGGGTTTAGGGTTTCGGGCTTTAGATTTATGGGATTTAGGGTTTAGGCTTAAGGACAGCATGGCCCAACTCTGTCAGCTTCCTGGATTCTCAGGAGCAAGGCGTGAGCTATAATGTAGGTGCCTTCCTATTGCTTGTTAGACTAGGATTTTCGCGCATACTATACGCTACTTGCGGAATTTTTCGGTGCATAGTATAGTATACTGTATATTCGGGATTGTAAGGGGCTACCATTTCGAAGCATACATAAGCCCTAAACTTATTGGACCCCTTAGAGTCCGGCCTCTTCTTTGAGGGAACCGGCGGAGGCGGCATGGCAGCGTCCTTCCAACGGCAAAGATCAAATCTACTGGTTTTGGACTCGGCTGTAGGGTTGAGGGTTTGGGTCCTGGGTTTTACGGCTTCTTCAGTTTATCGTTTTAAGGCAGACTTGCTCCTTCTGCTCTCCGATGGCAAGGTTGCGTTCTCTTGAAGGGCTTTGGGGCTCCAGTGTCAAAGGGCTCTAAAGGTGAGATGAAGATAGGTGGGGTAATCCCAAATAAGAGTCCTCATATAAGGGATCCCTAATCGCCTAATCCTACCTACCTTCGTCCCACCTTTTGGGGCCTCCGACAGTGAAGGCTTCAGGCTTTGGGTTCTGGCGTAGGTCGCGAAGTCCCTACGCCCTCATCCCATCGGCCTCGATCGCTTTGGCCGCCGAGCCATCTTCCAGAGGCGCCTCTGGGGGTGTAAGACCCGACTTGAAACCTTTAGGGTTTAATATAGGAACCTGATTAAGAAATCCCTGGGTCTTTATTCGGGTCCTTATTTATATGAGTCCTAATATTTTGGATTTACAGGGCCAGGGTTTCTTAATCAGGTCCCCACATTAGGGAGTTAGGGTGTAGGGGTTTAGGGGATTCGAATATCGATGTCAGATTCGTGTGGGGCGCCTGGGCTTAGACATAGGGCTGTGGCACAAGGATTGTCTTGCTGCTACAGTGGGATTTCACAGGGTAAACCCTACAAATCTAAACCCTAAACCCCTGACTTACTGCAAATGGGGCTCAAATCTTGAAAACCCAAGTTTGGCTTACAGCAGCACAAGAACCAAAGACCCAATGCAAATATCATCTACGCGAAAATACCTTCACCGCAAATAGACGAAAGACCAGCCTAGCAAATTCAACCTTGGCACAGGCTCCAGATGAGCCGAAAACCCTACAATCCGGGCTCAGAACTCACATGCCCAAGTCTGGACGCAAGTACCAAGCATACGGAGACACAGCAACCCAAATTCCTGTACACAACCAAAGCACAGAACCAATCCCGAAAGCATTCTACATGATCAGAAGGCCTTCAAAAATACGTACAAAGTCAACAAGGGAACCAAGCCCTTACAAGCCTGAACCACTGCATGCCTGTACGTTCTGAGCCAGGGCCTCACTTAAAATAGGGTTTGGGGGTTTCCTTATTACAAGTATGTATAATATATACCCAAACCCTATCCTAATTATTAAGGCCCCTATACCAAACCCCAAGAAGCACGTTACTAATCACTAATCCCGAAAGTAAGCATCGAGGATCAAGACTGTCAAGCCCTGGCTGCCAAGCTCCCCAAGCTCAACTTCATTAGGGTAGTTGTCAAAATTATGGTCCCTTTTTGGGTACCCTAAATAATAGGTGCCGAATTTTTTTGGGACCCAAAAAGGGACCATAATTTTGACAACCACCCATTGGTCTCAGAACCCCGTGAACCGGAAATCTGCACCTTGACATCTGCCACAACTGAAGTCTCCTTCCCCGAACACACAACTCGCAGGCCCCACTCCCCAAACTCCCGAAGCTAGGCCTGCAATTCCCAAGCAAAAGCCGGGCCTTTTGGCCGTTTCCGGGCAGAACGTAATAGTTGTGGCAAGGTGGGATGGAGGATCCTTCCAAACCCCAAGGCTGACGCCGAACCGGAGACCTCTTAACTCTTATGCTCGGCAGCCACCTAGACCCTGGGACACCGGGTAGAGGAGACCTGGCGGGAGTCAGCCGGAAGACCAAGCGCCGCATCCTGCAAATTGGAAGGAAAGTCTCATGACCGATATGACGGGGGACTACTTCGAACATTTCGAACAAGCACAGGTACTGAGCCTAGCAGGCGCTACATCAGCTCTCGATCCAACAGACTTGATATGCATAGGCCTTTGGATTCTGGTTGGGGTGCAGGTGAACTTCTGGTGTTGATAGTGGTTGCTTGCACATTCGGGTGAGCGGCTTTTTGAGAATTTGAACTTGGTTGATCATGAAGGTGTCGGAGACGCTTCATGGCTTTCGTGGGTGCGCATCTGTGTACTTGGGTGTAGGCTTCTCGAGTCTGCTTTGGATGCGACATCCAAGCAAATGCTTCTTTTGACACAAGCGGCACAAACCGTGAATTAAACGACGTCGGGATTGTACTACCGAAGAAATGGAAGATCATAGTCATAGTGAAAGCCTCATAGAGCATCTAGCCTTCCATCTCCGACATGACCTGCAGGTACTTGCTCCCAGCTTTGAAGTTATCCCAATGCATCATCTTGCTTCGTCTCTTTGCGTTGTCATAGTGAAGCAAGTCGTGGAGCAAGAATTTGTGAGGCCGGGATACAAGTCTTCTGCTTGTAGAATACAACTGCGCCCATTGATCCTTCATGTGCACAGTGTGCTGTATGGAGGCGAACTCACGCTTCTCGTTGAGGTACTGCAACAGCTCTTGTTTGGTTTGTCCGTTCATGTTAGAATGGTAGACAATAGCCAATGCCTGCAAAAAGACAATAGCGGCATGCGGGGCGGCCTCTTGGATCCCAGCTACATCTAGGCCATCGAAATTACGCAGGATTTGCACAGCTGCAACGGCTTTGCCTGATAGTAGATGTGCTTTTGCATAGGCCACATAACAGATAGCATTGGGCCGAACCTTGTACTTGTTTGTGAACCTGCGCCAAAGTTGCTCAACCCTGCGACACATAAAGCCTTGTCCAGCGGAGTCAATCAAGCCGCTCAGAAGAACTTCATCAATCATCTTTTTCTCCAACATCTGTCTCAAAAGTGTGTTGACTCGGTCGTGCTGCCTGTGCTTCTCGAGGACCAGAAGAAGTGGAGTGCGAGTCTGAGCTGTGGCAGTGAAGCTTTGGCTTTCTGACCATGCATGCAGTTCGTTGGCCCACTGCACCGCATCTGCTGAGCCCACTGCATCGCATAAGCTCCAAGCACTCCCAAGTGCAGCGCAGAAAGCAACTTCAGAAGTCAACTCCGGCATGGCTTTCCACGTCTGCTTTCCGAGCTCTAGAGCTTTTGGCCCGCGTGCTGCCAATTCCGCGACATCCAACGTCTTGTCCTTCATACATCGAGCTAGTGCACTCAGTAACAGATGCCGGCCGATACCAGGATCCAACTTGTATCGCTTATGGAGCTGGTGCACCTGTAAGAGAGCAAACCACCATCTCTGAAAGCCACAATGCTGCACTGCTGCCCCAATGACACTGGCATCCATCTGCGCCTGTTTCTGGGCTTCCTGGAGCATTCCCAATAAAATGTCAGGGGTCGCTGCCGTCTTCACTTTAGAACGCCACTTCTTAGATTGTGGGTTTCGCTGAGACACGGGAGCATCAGCTTGTGTCGGTGCTGACAGGAAATGAAGACCAGCATCTTCTGCGCGCCGCCCGGTCTCTGCACGAAAAGTCTTCGCTGGTCTCAGAAGCTTCCTCTGGCCTGAGCATGCAACCCTGTGGAACAAGACCACACTTAGACGCTAAGACCAATAACAACTACTGGGCAAAACCACGGTGACAACTGAAGACGATAACAGGCTTGCAGCTGTGCCGCGCACGTTTTGTGGCACTTGATGCGGCCTAGTGTGGCTTCGGCTTGCGGAAGACACTGTCAAGAAGCGCGGTCTGGCGGAACATCTGTTATGCACAACGGTCCATGACTGGCGAAACACACGCATCTTGTGCTTCGCACTCAGCAAGGCTCTGGAGAGCCTATGGCTCCAGGCTTGGACTGGTCTATGTATCAGGGACCAGATCTAGGAGAGCCTGCGAAGCGTTGCAGGATGCACTTGCAAGTCCCAGGAGCCGTCAACACTGATCTAGAATCAATCTAGAACCCTCGGCAAAACGCCACACCAACATCAACTCCCAGATGCCACAATAGACCTCAAACTAAGACAAGCAAGCCCAAGTCCACACCGTACACAACGATCACGAAAGCAAGATCGTCGAAGGTGACATCCCCAAAGCAAAGAACACAGACGTCAACACCTCGTTATATAGACCCATCACTCAATATCTTATACAGCCTCCAAAACAACTCTTTGCAAGATCAACACTCTCCACCCTGAGTTCCCTTCGTGACTCAGCCAGGATCCCAGAACCCGCAGCCTTCCGTCTTTGCCGAGTCATGCACGGAGGCAGGGCTCGCGTCTCCTGAAAAGTCTGGGTTTTTACTGGTCATCACCGATCTAGGTTTTAGGGTCGATGGTTGAGAGTTATAGGGTTTCAGGACATATGGGCTATATGTTTCTACTCACCAGTCTATGCTGTTGGGTGGGGTCAACCGACTGAGGTCGGCTTTCGGGACTTTGGGGGCTGGGGCCAAGGCATGTACAGTAGAGTTTAGGATGTGATGTTCAGCTCCTTAAACTTTAGTCTGACAGCTCATGCTTTCCAGTTGCCTGCAGGGGTGAAGGCTTTCTTGGCTATCAAGTCGACGTTTCTAGCAGGCAACCAAACAGCATCCATCCTGATAGGCCTCAGCCTCAATTCTGAGGCTACAAAGTATCTCAGAGAAGGAAAGGACTTGTGCGCGGCTACGAGCGCGATGAATAGGCCATCATGGGACCGACGCAGTCGACAACACGCTATGACAACCATCCTCGAAGGTTCCAGGAACGATGGCCAACATGTCAAAACCTGACTGTGCCACTGGGACATGGTTCGGGTACATCAGCAAAGTAGCTTGAGATGCATGACAAACGCCGAATGTTCAGCATCCAAGACCGTATCCACTCCGATAAACCCTGAACATGCCAACCCCCGAACCCCAAAATCCTAAACCGTAGTTTCAAACTGATAGCAGCGCCAAAGAACCCGGTCCGCCTGCACTGTCTCGGGGCTCGCCTCCCGGGCCGACAACACTCCACAGAGGTAAGCAGATTTTCAATAGCGGCCCCATTCGAACACTTCTACGCAGGTTTAGGGTTCTATTTTAGGGGCTTCCATATTTACGATAGGCTTCCATTAAAACATCAAAGGTATCAAGGCACCTGCTGCCTGCCAAGCTCGCGTGGCGAAGGTTCATTTGTACCACCCTGATGCCCGTCGTGGTTTCAAGCCCAAAGGAAACCAGAAAACAAGAAAACTGCCAACAACGTACTGCCGCGACAAGAACTTGTGCATTGAGGCTCTGGACTTTATCCTTGTACGTAGAAAGCAATGAGAGCCCCAACCAAGCCCCTAAACACACTCAACCGCGGAGAGCACCACATGTCAGAATTGAGTGAGGTGTTGGCATAGCCAAGCCGCTCCTGCCTTCTCGAACTGCTCCTTACCTGAACTATTAGGCGCTAGCACATAGAGTGAGGGTTCAGGCTATAGGCATGATGGATGTAAGCAGTCTGTAAATCTTTGCCTTTAGCAATTGCCACATATATGCAGCTTACCTACGGACCGTCTCCAAGGACAGTAAAGCCTGGATCCACGAACAAGCTAATCCTCGATGCACTTCTGGTGTAGTTTTCAAGAAATGTCGGGCAGTGATGTTGGCATTTCAGGAGAAGTTGCACTCCGAGTTAGGGCGCAGGGTGTTGCGAATGGAGGGCTCCAGGTTGATTGCGCCAGACCCTACACTCTGCAAGCCCTGAACCCCCATAAACTCTGGACTCTAAATCCTAAACACCGGACCCAGGGCCCACGGCAAGTGCCGAATCGAAAGCTCTAGCACCCACAGCAAAATCCGGTTGCAGTGAAGGCTGCAGCGCCCGATGCAAATCCGGTTGAAGCCCCCAAATTCCAAAACTGGACAAACCTCTTCCAAGGATCTGGCTCATAAGGGCCATCGGGGTCTCCTTCATCTCGCGCAGACGAAGAAGCAAAGTGTCCTGACAGGTTCTCGGCCAGTTCTCGGCCCCCAACCCTAAACTACAGTTTAGGGCTTTGGGTTTAGGGTTCCGGGGCAAGGCCGATATGATTGAGGATACTGCGTATGCGCCGGCAAGCCACGACTTCGGCTTAAGGCTTCGAGATTGAGGTCGGGACTACGTGACTAAGGTAAAGGTCAAGACCAAGTCCACCGAGAATCTCCGCTACGCACGCTCGGGTTTGGTGCAACGGGCTCCCGGGCACATAAAGGAGGTGCTGCGGGGGTATCACGACTGAAAACCCGATCTTCGTTGCTGAATTCATAAGCCCCCCAAAAGTGTATACTTTCAGCTGTTTAGTGGGTAGTATTATCCCAAAAAATGTCATTAAAGTGTATCCACTCAGCTATTAAGCGATAGAAAGGGTCGGCTCTGCTTCAATGTCAGAAGTACTTAAAGGATCATGGGACTTAGTAATTGGGGTTATAAATAGGGTAACTATAGTTATAAATACTTATAACCCCAATCAGGGTGCTTATAACCTTACTTACTAAATCCCATGATCCTCCAAGTACCCACCCACACTCACGCAAAAGAAAGGGCATGCTCCTCGGACATGCGCACCACGTCCGCGATCTCCTGGCGGACAAGACAAGAAACAATCGTTCACTGCATTCAGAATCCTAAACTTCCCTAAACCCTGAATTCTCAACCCTCCAATCCCTAAAGCTCACTTGTTTGCCCTATCTGGCCACGGCTAAGTAAGCTCTCCGTCAGTCCGGCCTTCGAAGAGCACTGGAAGCCGTGGTAGTACCTCAGCAGCACTTTATAGAACTGCGAAAAGCGTGGGATTCAAGGAAGGGTGGGTTTTGGTGGCTGACTGCTTTCATGATTCATGCTGCGTGGCTGCTAGAGGTTCGCGACCAAGGATCTAGCACACGCAGTTATAATCACCAATCAAGACGGAAGCCTCTTACAGCCGAAGCCCCTTAAACCTAGACTAGAAGCCCTCAAACCCCAATAAAGTCCAAGCAGCTCCTAAACCCTACAAGCCCCAAACACCTATATAGACCCCTAATTAACCCCTGAACCAGTGAAGCCTAAATCACTAAACCCTAAACCCTAACCCCCTGAACCCTAAGCCCCTAAACCCCTAAACCCTGACCGAGCGCCGCACGAGGCGATGAGCAGGGCCGCGCCCACGAGGCCGTTCGGCCGGCGACCTGGCACTCTCTGGACATTAGTTCTTAGGTTTTATGGGTTTAGGGGTTCAGGGGTTTAGGGTTTCAGGGGTTTAGTGCTAGGGTTTGAAGGTTTAGGGTTCAGAGGTTCAGGGTTTATAGGGAAGGGTTTAAGGGTTTAGGGCGTACCTGGACCCTAAAGAACCTAATTGCATTTTTCGGGTTCCTTGTCATGATTTCCTTGTACAAGTCCTTAAGAGGGCAAGTTTAGAGGCTTAGGGCTAGGGTTTGAGGGTTTAGGGTTCAGGGGTTTAGGGCTTCTAGGGTTTAGGGGTTCAGGGTCTCGGCTTGGGGCGTACCCGTAGGCCCCATGGTAGTTCGTTTTTGGGGCCCATGTTGAAAATCCTGAAAGGTAATCCCCAAAAGGAACTACTATGGGGCCTAGGGCTTAGGGCTTACCAGGACCCCCCAAGGCCCGTTAAACAGAGCCCCTTCTGACCTGGCGCTTTCTGGACATTACGGCTTACCAAGACCAGCAAGGCCTTCAATGGAGCCCTTATGGCCCTAAATAGTCGGTATTTTGGGGAGAATTGGTTTAGGGTTTAGGGTTTGCTGTAGGGTTTAGGGGTTTAGGGTTTAGGGAAGGTAGTCGGGGGGTCTAGGTAGGGCTTTGGAGTTGAAACTTCAAGGTTTCGGAGTTGAGGGTGCAGGGTAAGTTTGAGCATCTTCTCAGCGCGGGGTTAGGTTCCTGCTTAAAGGAAATCGGGCAAAGTTTTCGGGTTATGGGTCCTGGAGGTATAAAGGTGTGTGCCTTGCCAGACCATAAAATCGTACACCCTACTGAGGGTGTAGTTGTCGATCGCAGCATACCACGACGTGATAGCATCGAGAGGATGCCCATATGAGCGGAGTCCGTAGCTGGAGGCAACGCCTCAAGAAACCTGGCAGGTCAAAACAGGAAGCCGGCGAACCTGTCAAACCAACGAGGCCTCAAAAGGGCCTTAGCTGGAGCAACAGACCTCCAGGGACCAGAGTCCCTCGCAGCACCTTAGTCGGGGGCAGGGCCCCATGACTTCCAGACCAGGGGGCGCCTTCCCCTGATGTCTGTACGGCGAATATTTGCCATGACTCCCAAGCGAGCCAGGACAACTCCCTGAGGCTCCGCCTCTTTGCCCCAGCCCAAACGCTGAGCCAACGGACAGGGTGGCATACCCTACTGCCAAGATGGCTTTCATGGAGGAAGCCTATTGATGAGCAACATGACTCACAATACAGGGTACCACAAAACCAGTACAAAAAAATGAAGTGCTGCAAAGCTTTAGCCTATCGGGCTTTGGATTCAGAGCCTCTTCCCGTCTTTCAAGCAAATCACCGTCCCCCCCCCTGCGTGAAATTAAACGCGATGCCGGCAGCACCGATGCAAATCCAATCGCGGTGCCTATGATTCTGTCCCCGAGCTTTAGGGATGAAGGCTTTGAGCTGACTTCAGGGGTTGTGGATGGGCTTCCCCCTTGTTTTGGCTGCAAGGCTGCTTTGCGGTTCAGGCCCGATGGCCGGCAGAGGTGATGGAGGATGCTTACCCCAAACTTGTCTTAAAGCCCGTGCTTGAGATTGAAGTCTTTCCTGGGGCTATGATACGGTTGATGATATAAATCCTGCATTACCTTAAGGACCCTGAACTGTGGGAAT